AAATTAAAGAAAAGTAGTTTTCGCATTAATTTATTCAATACCGTATTCTGAAATGGCGACCATACGACATTGATTTGATGGAACATTGTATTATAGTTTAAGAGTGTCATGCGTCATGTGTGTTGTACCATGGTTTTTTGTTTTTTTTCTAGGCATAAATAAAATATAATAAAAAAGTAGCATGTGGTATGCAATAATTATGATTCTGGGGTTATAAAAGATTATTGGAAACAAAATAGTAATGTAAAATAGATTACTTCAGGTACCAAAGGTCGTTTTATGATAAATAAGGTTTTTAGTGATAAGTCTGTATCCAGTCATGGTACAAACACCAATATCCGTCTAAGAAAAGTCAGCGTAACGTACAAAATCGATCATCACTTCCGGGAATGTCAACCTATTGTATGAAGAGCTCCTCCCTTGGGGTTACAGTATTTCCTTAAAGGGGTTGAAGAAGAAACATGAGTAGTTTTAACACTTCTTTAGAATATTTTGTAGATTTTATTTAGCCCAACAACAATCTGAACTACTAAATTATTTTTATATCGTAAATAATTCGCATTAAATAACCACATTTTGTTTGAATAGTGTTATCAATTTTATTTTTTTTTTTACTACTACTACCTTAAAGGATTTACAGTCAACGGTATAACATACAACACAATATTCGGAAGGTAGGAGAGCAAGTTGGTCTATTTGGTTAGAGCGTGGGGCTTCCAGAGGTTCCGGGTTCAAATCCCGCCAAATCACAAACGGATTTTATCTATGTCATAATGCCGCAACCCCTATGTCTAGCCTGAAGTAATGTAAAAAACTAAATAGGTTAGATTTTTATTCAGATTTTGTTAAAATGTCTACAATCAACAGTTAGTTTAAACGTACAAAATTTCATCACAAAACTATGTACAGTATATGAAACTTGTTTAGAATGTACTGTAATATTTATCAACGATGGACCAAAATTACCTTGGTTAATCCACACAAAGATATTCTGCAAAGACATTGTAACATTGTAGGATAACTTTAGTCTGCAGATAAGTCTAATATAATCGTTATACAAGCCACATATATCCCTTGAAACTTCACTTATTGCTGACAGCAGCATTTGTTTATCTTTGCATAGAATTCTAGTTTGAAACTATTTCTCACCAGGTTCTGAAACCTTAATACAAATGAATAATAGCCGAAACAATGCTGCACTAGCTACGTCACCAGGACAAAGGTCAGATCACGACCAACTACCGTCTTCAGTCGAGTCTCAACACACGTCTGGCGCGCCTCCATATCCTGCCCGTGCACGCATAGCAAGAGTTAAAAATGTTAAATAACGGTCGACCGGTTTTTATATGTGTTTTGTGTTGTGGACATCTTACGCACCTCTTCAGGGAAGTTTAGTGTAAACAGTTCTTATACGGATCCGACGATGGCGCTCGCGCCGAAATGTACATAATCCACTAGGACAATACTTGGACCACAAGGCGACAAGCAGGTATTTTAACCTTTTATTTATTTGTCAATCAATTGGTCCGGAAACACCACAACAAAATATGAAGTATTTCTCACCGCTGAAAACTATATAAAGTAAAAAAAAAATTAAAAATCCTACACCCTAACATGTATTCATAAATTATATTACTGATCAACTTAAGATACATTCATACAATAAGTATATACATCACGGTAACTTTTTTTTGCTACCTTTTGTAGTTCATATCTACTTTGACCTCAAATTAATCAATAACATAAATTATTCTAGAATATACTCTATTTTAAGAAAAGCTTTCATTGTCCTTTAAACAAACAATCAGCCCTGATAGATGTGACCTGAAATAACAAAGCCTTTCTTGAAAATGTCCAGCTTGTAAACAAATTGCTGATGCTCTCATAACATTGTATTTGATCGATGTAACACCACTTTTACAACAAACTATGTGCCATTTAAGGAATAATTTTATCTGGTTTTTTATTTTTCAACTTCATCGTCCAAGGGTGTTTTACAAAGAATCATGCATGATCCAAACAATCTATAATTTATTAATGAGGTATTGTATTATCACTATTATTTTTTCACTATTACTGTGTTTAGTGAATTAGTGATTGGGTTGGAAAACTTCCATGTGCTTGAAATTTAATTTACAAATACCCTTCTACGAATTATCATAATAATCCATTTGGCTAAAAAGAGATATAAAAGAACAACTCTATAATAGAGAGTCTATTAACTTTGAACGTGCAACACAATACAATCCCTTTAAGGTATTTTTCAGATCTTGTAAGGATTCATTGTTTTGTTTGACAATTGTTAACTCTAACAAATGTAAGGCTTTATGTGACAAAAGGAGAAAAGAAAAGTCCACAAAAAAATCCCTCTGAAATCCACAAGGTGATGTTATCATATATTAAAGAACTAGTTGTCGGTTTCGTAAAAACTACATAACATATTTAGAATTTTTTTATCATTCTTATAGAGATTTTAACCAATCAAAGTTTGTTAAGTCCATAAACTTCGTAACTTCGAGATTGTTATCTCAACAGCCGGTGTCCAAACTTGCACACTTAAACAAACCAGTAACGATGCTGAAAGTTACAGAATTTGAATTGTTGGAGTTAGGTTTAATGAAAATACAATACAAAAATATAAATGTAAAATGCATATTTATTTCTTGTTAGGAGACTAGAGTGACTTAATAAAAAAAGAACAGTACTAGACACAATGCTAGATTTGAATTTTATATTTTAGCATGTAACGAAGGATAGACAATAATGAAATAACAGCTTAGCTGACTTATATAACGCTTGAGGCTACATGATGATAAATATAATGGAATAAAGTTGATTCAGTTCCAATACAGAATGTTTTTTATCAGCTGGTTTATTCCTTTGAGCTTAGGAGTAGAATGACTTTGTCAAGGACCTACAGAGTATAGCAGACACACAAATTTCGGTTAAAACGTAAATAAATCTAAAACAGAACAACAAAATTATTTCTTACCATGAATTTCACATCAATATTTACAGTATCTATTTTATTCTGTATCCGGAAATAATAAAAAAGTAGAAACACATACGATAATTGCATTTAGGGCTGTAATAGAGAAGCCGACTTATCAAGTTGCAATGTAATCAGTGTGATAATACATGATCAGGGGGATCATAGCCCTAGCTTATCTTGAGTATTACATGACCTATTACACGCTTAGATTACATCCATACATTCACTTGAAATTAGCTGTAATAGTATGTAATGGAGAATCAGCCTTATCAGGTTCCAATGTAATAAGTGTGATAATACATGATCTGGCGGACCTGGCACTAGCTCATCTTGAGTATTACACTACCTAGATTACACGCTTAGATTACATCCATACATTCACTTGAAATTAGCTGTAATAAGATGAAATTGAGAAGCAGCCTTATCAAGTTCCAATGTAATCAGTGTGATAATACATGATCAGGTGGTCCCTAGCACTAGCTCATCTTGAGTATTACACGACCTATAACACGCTTAGATTACATCCATACATTTGCATAATTGAAATTAGCTGTAATATATTGGGATGTAATAGAGAAGCAGCTTTATCAGGTTCCAATGTAATCAGTGTGACAATACATGATCTGGCGGACCTGGCACTAGCTCATCTTGAGTATTACACTACCTAATACACGCGTAGATTACATCCATAAACTCACTTGGAATTAGCTGTAATAGAATGTAAGAGAAGCAGCCTTATCAGGTTCCAATGTTATCAGTGTGATAATACATGATCAGGTGGATCTGGCACTAGCTCATCTTGAGTATTACACGACCTATTACACGCTTAGATTACATCCATACATCAACATACTTGAAATTAACTGTAATAGTATGTAATAGAGAAGCAGCCTTATCAGGTTTCTATGTAATAAGTGTGATAATACATGATCAGGTGGAACCTGGTCCTAGCTCATCTTGAGTATTACACGACCTATTACACGCTTAGATTACATCTATACATTCACTTGAAATTAGCTGTAATAGGATGTAATAGAGAAGCAGCCTTATCAGGTTCCAATGTAATCAGGTGATAATACGTACATTTCAGGTGATGATTAAGGATCAGGTGGACCCTATCCCTAGCTCATATTTTGAGTGGTGTACGATAACACATTATACTTTATTAGTTATTCTTTCCTGTTCGTTCTTGGAAAACTACCATAAAGACTTTACTGATGGTAAAATTTAAAGTGTTGATATTTTTTACCAGAAATAAACTGTTGTTTCTGTCAATAAAATACGGTCTAAAGTTATTATTCTCCACCCGACGTTGTTTTTAACCGTTTTATAAACGTTAATTGGAGGCTGAAAGCTATGTATTGCTGTCTTGGGCGAAATGCCATCTGTCGTCATCATTTGGGGGATTTACACAAAACATTATTGCACATTAAATACACAAGCCGTATCCCCATATGCATTGCAATAGACTTGTTTTTTATCTCCGCTGTCTAGCAACTATTTAATATTATTTTGCTGATTTCGCCAAATATTTCCTCACATAACCATAACTAAGTTGTAGTTGTGTTGACTGTTATGGTTTATTTGTTAAGCATTTTTTACAATCTTGTGAAAAATAGCTTTCATACCACGGTCCGAAAGGATTATGGCCCTAGGTACGAAATGTACGATATCAATGATAGTTAAATGGATATTTAGTCATGTAACTCTCAATATAATGTTTGTAATTTTAGATTTCAAACATCTGTTGGAGATCGTATGATGTACAGGAAACCCCTAATATTCGATATTGATGATACCCAAATTTAAAATATCCCTCTCCAAAATGGCTTTTGTAATATTGGATCATATGTCTAATATTCTATTCTATATTGTCTTGTTAAAAGCATATGGTTTATGTTTTTGTTATGATGTTTGTTTTAGTGTTGAGATGGCAATAAGATAAAAATGTTCTTTCTTTTACTAGTTTGTTTTATTCTTTTGTGAATATACTACACTGGCGACGAGGATGTCTAGAAAGAAGCAGAAGAGTGATAGGGAAGTTGATGAAGAGTCTCACAGTGAGTTGGAGAGGAAAATGGAGAAGTTTGTCTTTGAGAAATACAAATGTGAAGAAACAGCAGAAGAGTATATTGAACATTTTCAACGTGTTTGTCGGGTGAAAGGGTTGGGGGGTTCAGATGAGCGTAGTAAGGAGGCGAGAAAAGACTTACTACTGGCTTATGTGGGAAGCGAACCACTCCAGAAGATGCAAAATTATTTCATCCCGAAAAACCTTGATTCTTGTTCATATGAAGAAATTAAGACTGCATTTTTCACACTGTATGGTCCAAACCAAACGATTTTCGCTGCCCGTTTTGAGTTTGAAAGAGCTGTTAGGAATGAAAGCGAGTCCTTCACAGAATATTTCACCCGGTTAAAGAAATTAAGCAAACACTGTCGGTATGGCCAAGGCTTGGATGAACGGATCCGGGATCGTTTCATCGCAGGGGTGTTCAATGAACAATTTGAAGTGGAAGTAAGGCATCGTTGGCCGGATGGTGTAGAGACCGGTGGCAGTGTTGTCGCGGCAGAGAGAGTGTTCCAGCTGGCCAGGTCGATGGAGCGTGCCAGAAACGAGGTGAATGCCAGTACTACATCGAACGTATGTTTTGTCAAGAAGCGGCAAACAACTGGTCAAGTGAATGGATGTGAGAACTGTGGCAGATATAAATGTGTGAAGGAGAAATGTCCAGCAAAAGGCCAGGAGTGTCTCAAATGCCGGAAGATAGGACATTTTGCTAGGGTGTGCAAAAGGAAGTTTGTCAGTAAAATTGACACGAAGTATTCCGATGGTGAGCACAGTTCAGATGGGGTGGAATCTGATCTTCATGCTCTTAAGAAGATTTCAAACAGAACTCCACGTGCCTCAATAAGAGTGAATGTTAATGGACTGCCCTGCCTTATGGAATTCGATTCTGGTGCTAGAATTTCTACAATTGGGCAGACATTATGGAAGAAACTCGGTAAGCCCCAGGTTAAACCTCTCTCCGGGTTGACAGGCTATGGTCAAACACCGTTAGCATGTTTAGGCAAATGCTATGTGTCAGTGTGTTTGAATGGGGAAACAAGGAAATTACCAGTGGCAGTAATGGAAAAAGATGACATTCCATTGTTTGGACTTCCGTGGATGGTATCATTTGGAATGAAACTTCCACCTGAAGTTAGTGTAAAATCAAACAATGTAACAAATGATGTTGTGAATATTACGGAAGAGGAAGCCCAATCATTGGTGAAGGAATTTGATAGTGTTTTCTCTGATGGATTGGGTAAAATTGAAGGAGTAAAGCCTAGAATACATGTAAAGAAGGATTTTCCACCAATTGCACTGAAAGCCAGAAGAGTACCATTTCCTTTGAAAAATTCCGTAGAGAATGAGCTGAACCGACTAGTTGAGTGCGGAGTCTTAGAGAAGGTTGATCCAAGTGAAACAGCAATAGTCTGGTCAACGCCTACTGTAAATGTCAACAAAGGAGGAGGTAGGGTTAGGATTTGTGGAGACTTCAGGGTTACCGTGAACAAGGCGATTGTGCCTGAAGTTTATCAGATGCCTACTTTTGCTGATTTGACAAACAAAATTGCTGGAGGTCGATTATTTACTGTAATTGATTTGAAAGATGCATACTTACAGTTAGAGGTTGCAGAGGAAGATCGAAACTACTTAATAATAGCTACTCATATGGGGTATTTCCGCTACAAACGCCTTGCATTTGGCTTAACTGATGCTCCAGCCAAATTTCAGCGTTTCATGGAAAATCTCCTCAGTGATATCCCTTTGGTTGGGGTAAACATAGACGATATCATAGTCAGTGGAAGAACCAAAGAAGAGCACCTGGGCAATGTCAGAACAGTGTTGAAACGTCTCGAAGCTGTGGGGATAAAGGCGAAGAAAGAAAAATGTCAGTTAGGTCGAAACAGTGTCTACTATTTGGGGCATAAAATTGATCAAGATGGAATACATCCTAGGGAAGATAAAGTAAAGGCATTAAAGGAAGCCAAGACTCCAACAAACAAGAAAGAGCTTCGAGCGTTTTTGGGAGCCATAAACTATTATGAGAAGTTCATTCCTCATCTTCATGGTCTTTGTTCAAGATTACACCGATTAACAAGTTCTAAGACTTCTTGGGTGTGGAATCACCAAGAACAAGAGGAGTTTGACAGAGCACGCAATCTGATTGCAGAAGATGCAACGGTTGTTCCTTACCGAGAAGATTTGCCCATAACAGTATCCTGTGATGCCTCGGAGGTTGGTGTAGCAGCAATTATTCTACAAACTGATCACGATTGTGTAGAAAGACCAGTTGCATTTGCTTCGCGTACTTTGCAGGAATCAGAAAAGCGATATTCATCAATTGACAGGGAAGCACTTGCTTGCGTGTTTGGAGTGGTCAAATTCCACCAGTATCTTTATGGCAGACATTTTACCTTAACTAGTGACCACAAGCCTTTAGAGAGAATATTTGGTAAACATCGGGATTTGACCAAGACGATGAATAACAGGTTGGTTCGATGGGCTATTTTCTTAAACAACTACGACTTTGATATAAAGTATATAGAAGGTAGGAACAACGTGTTGGCGGATGCACTCTCTAGACTGCCCAGCGAGAGTGACCTCCCATCAAGAGAAGAGTTGTCTGCAAAACTACTGGTTCAGGAAAAGATAGACGATATGGCTCTGACATCAAAGGAACTGCAAGAAGAAACTAGAAAAGATGAGACTTGCAAGCGGGTTATGATGTTTATGGAATCACAATGGCCACAAAAGTTGCCTAATGATCTTTCATATTTGTCTCCATTTTTTCACAGACGGGAAGAACTCTCTTCTGTGAAAGGAATTCTGATGTGGGGAAATAGAATAGTGGTTCCACAGACCCTTCAAAAGAAAACACTACGTGTTTTACATCAAGGAAATCCTGGAATTGAAGCTATGCGGAGTTTGTCACGGTTCTATGTGTGGTGGAGCAAGATTGACGAAGACATAGAAATGTATGTGAAGACTTTTAATGGGTGTCAGATGAACCGTCCAAGGGAGCCGGAGGTACCTCTGTACTCGTGGAATGTACCAGATGGTCCATGGGAACGGTTACACTTGGATTATGCTGGACCATTTGATGGGTGGTATTGGTTAGTTGGTGTAGATGCATTTTCTAAATGGCCAGAGATATCAATGGTTAGATCTATTACGGCTGCCAGTACAGTGAACAAGTTACGGGAATGGTTTTCTCGCTATGGAGTTCCTAGAATGATAGTCACTGACAATGGGACACAGTTTACGTCAGAGCTATTTGAGAAGTTTTGCAAGGATAACGCGATAAAACATGTCTGCAGGACACCATATCATCCGAAGACGAATGGCCAAGTTGAACGGTTCATCAAAACATTCAAGTCAAGATATTTGTCCAGCAAAGGTGACAGGCAAGATCAAACACAAAGGTTGGCGAAGCTATTGTTTGCCTACAGAAACACACCACAAAAATCTACGAGCAAACCTCCATCTGAACTGTTCTTCGGCAAAAGACTTCGATCTCCATTGGACAATTTGAAGCCTACGGTGAAAGACGTGATAGCAGAATCAGTTTTTAAACAAAAGGAGTATCACGATGGCAAAAGTAGACGTAGGGAATTTTCTGAGGGGGAAGAAGTCTGGGTGCAGAGAGAAATAGGTGCCGGCTGGAATCCAGGAGTGATTGCATCAAGAACTGGTGAGCTATCATACCAAGTCAGGGTTGGTGGACTTCTGAAGCGAAAACACGCAGACCAGCTACGTAAGAGAAGCGGAGCTTTATCTGAAGGGGGAGAAGTGTAATATTGGATCATATGTCTAATATTCTATTCTATATTGTCTTGTTAAAAGCATATGGTTTATGTTTTTGTTATGATGTTTGTTTTAGTGTTGAGATGGCAATAAGATAAAAATGTTCTTTCTTTTACTAGTTTGTTTTATTCTTTTGTGAATATACTACAGCTTTCAATTTTTTTTTTTACTTAGATTCCAATTGGTGTTAAAATGGGGGTCAGAGAATTTTAAAAGCAGCTCAGTATCAATTGTGTTGGCTGAACCGTTGGGATTAATAAATAACTAAATACATTTCTTTACTACATGTAATGTTCTTAGATAATGAAATCTCGTTGTTTAACAATGTGCGCCATCAATATTTATCAGTCCCCATAAATATTGATAAGAAATTATTATTGTATATAAATAAATATTGATTTGTTCACTAAATCTACTTTAAAATTGTATCTTCTTGGCAATTTTCGCCTTGAATGGAATTATTTATAAAGTGTTATTTTTTAAACAATTAAATCCAATTTCAATTTATAATAACAACGTAGCTTGTTTAATTAATAAACTTATAACAGTGTAAAATTATTTAATTACTCAGTTACCCTTTTAGATAACAAGAACAAAAATGGTAGGTAGTAATTTGGTGAGAACCTTAAATTTTAATTTATTTTGTACTAGCAGAGTACCCGTCCTTCGCACGGGATTGGCATATAGTAAAATGCTTATTGCAGTTATACTGCAACTTAGCGTTTGCAATGGGGGAGAATACAGTTTGATAAAATTTGCTTCTTTAAATTTTTCATGCAATTAAAAACATGAACATAACTGTAAAAAATCCTACTTTGACAGTTCTCCATTGCCTATCACAGTTTTTTGTTGCTGCCTGGTTCAAATTAGGTGATTTCACAAATGCAAAAAATAATAGTGCTGCACCCTGTTGGTAAATCTTATAACTTTTTAATACTTTTGCATATCATAGAACCAACTTTTTTAGTTGAAAAAGCTGACTAAATTCTTTAATTCCCTTTAAATATGAATACTCATAAAGTTAACATGGGAAACTACAGAGCCACTGGGGCGGAGCCCTAAAGGATTTTTGAGATAAGAATATGCCTATATGTTAATCGGGAATATGAGCTATCATCATGCCAAATTTCAGCCCAATCCGTCCAGTGGTTAAAGCGTGATTGACCTTCAAACAAACAAACACACAAACTTTCACATTTATAATATTAGTAAGATTTAAAAAGTTGTTCAAAATGGGTTATGAAGCTAACTGCGTAGAGCCAGTACTGTTTAAATAATGATTTCTTACAAGCCAGGGTTAACGAATTTTAAATACTATCACATACTTCTTTAGAATATTAAGTCAAATATAAACCACTACTAGGAAATCAATCACTTCATCGATAACGTCAACCTCTTGAATGGAGAGCTTAACCGTAAGGTTCTTCCCTCGAAGAGGTTTTTTTTTGTTATTATAATGGAGATGTTTAAAGCAAAACTGAATTTTCTACTAACAAAGCATGAAAAAACGTACTTAAAACCCCTTAACTTAACTTATAACCTAAGTTTTTGACAATCATCTAGCAAAGATTTAGTAAAAAATGTTAAAAACAAATCGTGTTTTTGGAGAAATATAAGTGATTTGCTACCAACCATTTTGTTTCAATGATTCCATTTGCTAACTGTTATGTTGATGGTCATACAGTAAATGAGGGTTTTTCTTTTTCGTTTTTTCTTTTTTGTTTTTTTTTCTAGGACGCTAGGCACGAGCCCGGTATTTCTTTCACATTAATTCAGGCTAGACGTAGGGGTTGCGGCATTTTCACTTAGATCAAATCCATTTGGTGATTAGGCGGGATTTGAACCCGGGACCTCAGGCACTGAAGTCCCGCGTTCTAACCACTAGACCAGCTCGCTCCCCACAGTAAATTAGTGGAGTTAAGAATGAAATCAAGCGTAATCGGAATTTACAAGACAAACAATTCATGTCGACTTAATTAATTTTTAGATTCTTAACTAATTCCCTATATTTTCCTAGTAAATTGAGAAAATAATTCCAGTTCCCTAACATTTATAGCAAAGAAATTGTAATTTTTATCATTAAATTCATCTGTTAATCAAAATCCGTTACTTTTACTCCTAAGTTATAAATAGAATGCAGTATTAACTAATGCAACACCAGAAATGACTTAGTTAAACCACACAAGGATGTCGTAGTGACATTGTAACAATGTAAGATAAATTTGGCCTAAACATAAGTCCAATATCATCGTGGTATAAGCTGCATAAATCTCTTGCTACCTCTCTTATTGCTGGAAACAACTGTTGTTTATCTTTGTAACACATTCCGATTCGTAACTCTATATTCCTGGAAGTGTTGAATTATAAATAGAAATTCATAGCCTAAACCTTTTAGACTTATTTTTATACCTATAAATTGTGATTCACATTTATTTTCGATTGCAATTATCTTTGTTTGTTACGACGCGACGTTAATTTTTTCCCGTTAAAATATAACACCAGTTTTACCTAGTGTAGTGTTTTGTGCGAGTTAAATTTTTTTAACGTATTAAACAATCTTGGTTTAATAAAATAAAATGAATACTTAAATACATAAAGTACATTAATACATAAGTAATACATAAAATTATTCATAGGAAATTAACCACTTTGTAAAATAAATCTACAATGTATTTATAATATGTCATGATACAGACTATAACTTCTTTTGATAATATGTTCACTACAAGAAATATATAGTTTAATTAAAGGTTTTAGCAAACTGACACATACTTTCTCCTAATCGATTGTCAAAATCCATATTATCAATGGGTAAGCGGTGGAAGTAACTATGGTGTTTTATGGGTAAAATCGCAAATTTGCAATAACTATTGAACCGTAATTTTTACAGCATTGAAGATTGTACCATTTCGTTTGGAGATAATCAACATACTAGGCCTACATTTTAGTCCAAACTGTTCGAGCCAATTTGGAAAATGCGTTTTTTTCGTAACTTTATGGGAATTTATGGGGAAATGGGTATTAAAATCAAAATAAATAAAAAACTTGAAATAAAATAAATAACTACCTACCAGGTTATGTCAAAATAATTGTTTATTGGCTCTGTGTTTATTGTATTTGTAAGTAGGATTATACATTAGGTTCTTGAAACAGGCTAAGCTAAGATGGTACCTGGAAGGCCTAATAGTATAATGAGTAAACCCTAAATCAGGTAAACTTTCATCGGGATCGATTTGGCTTTGGATTACTTAGAAGGCCATAACAACTTGACTAACTATAAACAGGCTCAATCATGCATACTTGGGATCAGAACTTTGTTAACAATAATCAATGTTATTTTTAATGCTCTAAGCATACCTACTCATTGGCATGTAAATGATTTTTTTTAGATATTTAAAATATTTATCGATATCCGTACTTTTCAAATTAAAAATACTGTAAAAAATGTCGTTATTAAATTTTAATTTCTTTTCGATTGGACACACAAAACGTTATCAGAATTCAAACCCAAATCAAATAGTTTACACCTAAACATTATAGATTTCTTTATTAAAGGCTATACACATTTCTAGAAAATAAGTTTATTAAACTAATACCAGAGACAAAATTTGCCCTACATTGATAAACTGTCAGTTGTTTAATTTAGTATGAAGTCCAGTGTAATTTTTTGATGAAATAATCTGGCAAGACCGAAGGTTACTTTTGTTATAACATGACCTCTGATTAGAAGAAAAGGAAATAGGTGAGTTAGGAAAAATATAACTAAGTCATGTATGTAGGGAATTTTAAAAATTAAGGAACGCTGTACGGAAGAGATTTAATTTGGTGGTAGTATTCTGGTCCTTTAATACCTTCTTTCCAGGAAAACCCAGTGACCAAAGGGTTTTAATTAAAGACGCCATGTTACACGTGTCACCCCCTATAAGACACATATATTTTCTTTAAAAAATGTGTACTATCTTAAAGTTAAATAAACTTTTAGTTAAAAAATGATTTTTCAAATGCTTATTTATATTTGTTGCTATATTTTATTTGGTTTATTTTACCACTTCAATTGGGTTACATACATTTATGTGTATTTATTTTTAGAAGAAAAAAATTTTAAGCGAAAAACATCTTTACAATTTTATCAGATGAGTGTTCATAATAAGGAGGTTGACAGATAAGAATAATAGTGTTGTAATAGCAGTCTTTTCCTGTGCCACTGTCAAAAAATATGTGGGCTGTTCTTTTTTATACTTAAATAAAGTAAATTGATTATAATTTATATGAACACCATTTGTTGCTCGTAGTCAACCTTAAAATGTAGGAAAATCTAAGAAGTATAAGGAAATTTAACATAATAAGCTGAAGAAAAGGAAATTGATAAAAAAATTGCCAACAAAAATAAAATTGCAACAACAGTATTACGACACAAGGATGTTTGTTTGAACCCTAGACCGGAAATAGGATAGCAACAAAGCAGACCGGAAGCAGTAATGTTGTGTCGTCCGAAATTGATGACGTCATTTTCAAGACACAGTAAACCTCCTCCATTGTCAGCTTACAAAAACTTCTTGTTTTACAAATATTTTTTGCTGTGTCGTTAAAATGTTAAGAGTTTAATTTGCCTTAAGTTAGGACATTTTAAATTGTTTCACAAGGCTTTGCATTTTTGTATGTTAAGCAAAATGTTTAGCATTGATTGCATTTAACATAGGCTACACAGTTTTTTGTAGGTGAAGCAAATTCTTAAATAAGAGTACTGTGCAGAGGTCAAAAGGTCTACCATTAAATTTTCTATATTTACAATAGTGTAAATAAGGAAATATTCCAGTGAAAGTACTATCAGGCAAATTAAAATTCACTTAGTCTGCAGGGTTCCTGTAGTTTTTGTAATCAGTTAATTAAGTTTACATATTTTAACAATTACCAAGAACCACCCTTTTCGGACTTAATTTAAACGAGCGATAGAAGTAACATAATTTACACTGAAGATTGGTTACTTTTCC